ATATATATATATATATATATATATATATATATATATATATATATATATATATATATATATATAACACCCACACTTAGACTCTTGCTCTCCCTCGAGCAATGGAACTCTCAACTACACACCAACACATACATCTCACCTAGGGAAGATCAATTTAATTTTTATTCAACATACACTCTACCAATGATCATGGTTTATAGCAACAATTAAACTGTAGCATATGCAATCACTTACACTTCTCATTTCAAACATGCCCAAGTATAACCATTTCAATTCAAACAACCTACCCATAACCACCCTACCTCAAGAGCCGGCTCGTTACCACTAAGCACCCTCAACTCACACACTCACCTAACAAGAGAAGTTTACAACATTAACAATCCTTCATGAGATCATGTGCCCTCACCAACAAACAAAAGAGTGAATATAGAATAATCCACACATTCATGTATGCCTTTGAACATTATTTAAGGACATCAGACAATTGAAAAAAATTCGTTCACTCTCTTAAAGAATTTCATGTGCATCCCGTGGTTGTGCCATAAGCTTGCCCGTAGTGTACATTTCTATTAATCTAAGCTAGCCAAATCTAGGATCAATTAGGACTTTAAGTTTGTAATGTAGGCAAAGGGACGTATAGGATACATTTAGGAATAGTCACTAACCCTCCTAAGCACTTTAATATTCGACACTCACAAATCGAGCATATATTCTTCTCAACTAATTCACTCGCTACACACCATACTCAACATAGTCCTTTTTTCAATTAAGCACATCTATACTCCCACTAGCACGAATTAGTAAGATTAGGAGGTGTGTGTTTTTCTACATTATTTGGACTATTTTTTTTTCCTTCTTGCAATTTTCCTCTTCTTTTCTCTTATTTTTTTTCTTTTCTACACAGCCTCCATGCATTAAGGTTCATCGGCTAGTGACCTTTTTTCACAACTTTAGTGTACTTTAAGGGCCCTTCCATGGTTCCACTCAAATGTTACTCCCCAATATCTCACCTTACTTCTTTTAGCGACTACGTGCCTTAGGAGGTAAAGGTTCAACATCTCAAATTAAGAACAAAATAGGGATACGACTTGTAATGTAGGTGCCAAAGAAAAGTTTTATAGGCTAAAAGGGGATAGCAACGGAAAATTTTATTTTTATGTGACAAGCACATCCATGATCAAGCAAGAAACGCCTATGTCATCTCCTAGACTAGCACAACTTAATGATTTCGCTTCGATTAACACACGGGGCAAGTTCTAGACTACACAGGATAGCACAGAAATCATAAATCCTCGCACACACATTGCACATGACTCAATCGAGACGATTTTGTTCAACTCTCAAGTCAAGCAAGCACATATAATTGAGAAATTTTAAGCAATATCGCACTATATGGCATACAAGTCAAACAATTGAGAAAGGGTATCACAGAGTAGGCTATTTATTTTACTCGGGCATCACAATTCAATTCAAATGTACGGGAAGACAGAGCGCATGTCATAGCCTAATGTGCCAGCACCAAACACGTCAATAGGTATCTCAGAGCAACTCAATTTCTTCCTAACCTACTTCTAATAAAATAAAGTACCGGTTCGAGATACACCCTTGGAAAAGAACCGACGCCCAAAGAAAAACCAAGGGGAATTATTATCTAACTAAAACTAACTAGAAATAAAAAGAAAATAGTTTTAGATTTTTTTATTGGAATTTAATCCCTCAAGAAAGTTGTCCACAAAATCCATCGTGAAAAGTCCAAACTTTTTTGAAATTTTCTTTCTTTCTTGTTATTTTATTTTTTTTGAAAAAATCACTACACTAAGAAAGAATACTACAATTAAGCTAGGATAGCATAGAAAATCACCCAAACAATTTCCTCACCCCACACTTAAAATTGTGCAATGTCCTCAATGCACACTGTAAATAGCAAGAGGGTAAAAAAGACTCTCTGGTAGGCCAAAGGCCGAAGTATTAGCAGCTCATGGGATACTCAGACTTCTCCTAAGTATGATCCTTTGTGCGGGTACCTCACACTCAGTTTCAACCACCTGCTCGCTTTTACACTCGCCGATTAGCTTTGACTCCATGCTCCTACTCCTACAAAACACAAAAACAACACAATAAAAAAAATAAACAGAAGAAAAAAGAAAAAAAATAGAATTTGGTTTCCTCCCAACAAGCACCTTATTTATAGTCATGACACGACTCCATCACTTTCACCACTTTTTCTATCACTTTGAGGAAATGAATTGCGCTCCCAAATTTGCATCAAATTTTCTGTCACGTTATTGGGGCAGTGGTGTGAAAATAAAGGAACCAAGCAATAGATATCGCATCTTACACTTCTTGGCTCTTAAGTGAGGGATGTCATTTTGTCTCCTTGGCATAAAAAATTACAGAATGTATGCACTTTGTTCCCCATCCATTGACTCCTCCATAGGCTCGAATGGATCGATTCTCATGTCACTGACTAAACACTATGTTGAAAAGTGTTTAGAATGAGGTCTATTGCACTCCAACCCTAGAATCGTTTCACTTTTAACACTCCTCACTTTTGCACACTTCCGCAACCTTGGAATCATTAATAATATTGTGGTCAAATGGTTGGAATGCCTCTTTTTATTCCACATGTTGGCCAGTATCCACAAAAATTTGTTGTTGGGCATCAAACGCCTCAATCTTTTTATTCAATTGAGTCTGCGGGTCATGGATATCTGAGCCAAATTAGTCTATCTCCTGTCTGAGCTCA